GGTGTAGTGATTGAAGTGTTGGACTAAGACTTTAGGAGACCAGGATTTGAATTCCCACTCAGCTTTGGAAACCCATGGGTGATCTTGGACAAGCCACCCTTCCTCAGCTTTGGAAGAAGGCACTGCTGTAACTCCTCTGGACAAAGCTTGCTAAAGGAAGCCCATGATATGTTTACTACAAGTCAGAAATGACTTGAAGGCATACAACAATAACAAGATCCGGAGTGGGGGAGGGCACACCTTCCCCATCCCTGCTAGAGACAAAAAACTATCATGACAGTAGAAGACTAGTTTCAAACCCTCTTTTCTGGAAGAGAAGTATAGTTGGTCTTCATATCCAAATATTCTCCTCCTATGGATTCCACTGTCCACAGCTTGAAAAATATTTGTTTTAAATTCAAAAAGCAAACTCTGATTCTGCCATTTCATATAAGGGATATAATAGAATTTGAGCATCCATGGATATTGGTATCCATGAAGGCCATGGAACCAAACCCCAGTGGATACTAAAGACTTACTCTATTCCATTTTCAAGGATTAAGTAACATGTTATAGAGGAACATCCACTTTGTGAGCCTTCTCCTAAATTTTGATACACTGGAGATACAGGGTTATTTCCTAATCTGCTGAATAAGAACTAAGAAGAAAACTCAGTCCCAATGAAGGAAAGTATTCTCTGGACTACTTTTTAAATTTCATATTGACTTAATAACATGGGTCTATTAAAATGTCCTATTAGACCAGTTTAGCAGATGACCACATCTCATGAAAATGCAAAATACTGACAAATCAAACCCAGAGGTTTTCCTGATTCTGTCATTTTTATCCCTGGGTACACATTCTTGCTGTCATTTTTCCATGAAAGAATATTGAAGGCTAAATGATTGCCATGGTTATTTTTCAGCCTTGAAAGTGAGCATTGAGGGAATGGCTGACCCACGGTGACACAATTTGGTTTTCTGGCTTCATTTACCATGCTGCTGACAGACTGGATTGCACTAAAAGTTTCCACTGGCGGATGATAAATCAGCTGGCTGTGGGGAGTTTTGTGAAGGGCTTACATAGAGGCTACCCATTTTAAACAAGGGACATCTGGCACCGCTATTTCAAAGTTGTCCTCAGTCAAGTGAGCTCCCAAGATGTTGTTGTGTGTGAGTGCGAGAGTTTTTAAGATTGGCTTGTGAAGCTTGATCAAAAGGCTCTTCCTCAAAAACCACTTTGTGACCAATTCCACGGCACATTTGCTGTGATATGAGGCCAGCTGTCCTCTTGTTTGTTGTCTCCCTTCGTATCCTCACACAAAAGCAAATAAGAGGAAGAAGCGGGGGGGGGGGGGGGGGGGGAGAGAATCTTTGCAACTGCACCATCTCCAGGTGCTCCTGATATCTTTTCCAAAAATGTTGGTTGACATATAATTATTAGGGATGGAAAATTAATTCTTATGAAAATGTGCGGCTGAAGGCTTTCATAGCTAGAATGACTGGGTTGCTGTGAGTTTTCCGGGCTGTATGGCCATGTTCCAGATGCATTCTCTCCTGATGTTTTGCCCACATCTATGGCAGGCATCCTCAGAAGTTGTGAGGTCTGTCAGAAACTAGGCAAGTGGAGTTTATATATCTGTGGAATCTCGAGGGTGGGAGAAAGAACTCTTGTCTGCTTGCAACCAATGTGAATGTTGCAAATGGCCACCTTGATTAGCATTTAATGGCCTTGCAACTTCAAAGCCTGGCTGGTTGCTACCTGTGGGAATCCTTTGTTGGGAGGTGCTTGCTTCTGAAACATGGCCATACAACCCAGAAAACTCACAGCAAACCAATTCTTATGAAACACTGCTAATGCAACTAAAGCCGCTTTAGTTTTTAAACTATATATTCCACAGCATTTTTATATATCTGTCATACTGTGTGAATTACAGAAATGTATCTAGCAGAAGAAAGAAGGAATGGATCATATTTTTAAAGACACTGTGATTTCCTTGCTTTGATATGGAACTATACTAAAACTATATCAATAATGAATCAGAATCAATACTCTGCAAATTCCATCTTGAAAGTAGCTTTATCAAATGCTACCAACTTTGTCACTCATTCACTGAAAGCAAATGGGGGATTCTAATGCAAATATCTCTAATTTCATAACCACAGCTGCTACAGTCTAGGAGTTTCACAACTTTGGAGGCTGAGCAAGAAACTGTAATTCATTGACTTTTCCAGTTCATGGATAAACTGCAGAGCTGTCTCTGACCTTTTCTTGCAATTTCTCTTTGGCTAGAGAATCCCAGTCCCTTGGGACACTGTGTGACTGTGCAGTGGCCTGGCTTAATCTCTTCCTGTCCTCCAGCTGGTAAAGTAATCCCAAAGGGAACTGGAGGCAGCAGCCTTGGCACCAAATTGCACCCAAATACCAGTTTCCGGACTATATGGCCATGTTCCAGAAGCACTCTCTTCTGACGTTTTGCCTGCATCTATGGCAGGCATTTTTAGAGGTTGTGAGGTCTGTTGGAAACTAGGCAAGTGAAGTTTATATATCTGTGGAATGTCCAGGGTGGGAGAAAGAACTCTTGTCTACTGGAGGCAAGTGTGAATGTTGCAATTGGCCACCTTGCTTAGCATTTAATGTCCTTGCAGCTTCAATGCCTGGCTGGTTGCTGCCTGGCGGAATCCTGTGTTGGGGGTGCTAGCTGGCCCAGATTGACTCTTGTCTGGAATTCCCGTTTTTTGAGTGTTGCTTTTTATTTACTGTCCTGATTTTAGAGTTTTTTTTTATAGTACTAGTAGTCGGATTTTGTTTATTTTCATGATTTACTCCTTTCTGTTGAACTATATAAACGGGATTTATATATTTGTGGAATGTCCAGGGTGGGGGAAAGGACTCTTTATCTGTTGAAGATAGGTGTGAATGTTCCAGCTGGCCACCTTGATTAGCATTTAATGGCCTTGCAGTTTCAAGGTCTGCTTTCAACAGACCTCACAACCTCTGAGGATGCCTGCCATAGATGTGGGCAAAATGTCAGGAGAGAATGCTTCTGGAACATGGCCATACAGCCCGGAAAACTCACAACAACCCAGTGATTCCAGCCGTGAAAGCCTTTGACAATAAATTGGTAGGCTGTTAGGAATTGTTAGGAATCTGGGGAGAACACAGGTGAGCTCCCTCTGTCAGCTCCGACTCCCCATGTGTCGGCATGAGAGAAGCCTCCCACAAGGATGGTAAAACATCCAAACATCTTGTATGTTGGAAACTAGGCAAGTGAGGTTTATATAACTGTGGAATGTCCAGGGTGAGAGAAAGAACTCTGGAGGCAAATAATCTTATCTTATATTTGTTATTAGACGTGGTAGGAGCCTCCAGTGATGCAATGGGTTAAACCCTTGTGTCGGCAGGACTGCTGACTGAAAGGTCAGCGGTTTGAATCCGGGGAGAGCGCAGATAAGCTCCTCTGTCAGCTCCAGCTCCCCATATGGGGACATGAGAGAAGCCTCCCACAAGGATGGTAAAACATCCAAACATTCAAGTGTCACCTGGGCAATGTCCTTGCAGGCAGTCAATTCTCTCACACCCAAAGTGACTTGCAGTTTCTCAAGTTGCTCCTCTCTCTCTCTCTCACACACACAAAAGGAATGGTGGGAGTTGAAGTCCAAAAACCTGGAGGGCTGAAGTTTGCCCAAGCCTGGGTTAGCCACACTGAGTCCCATTATTGGGGAAAGGAAGAGGAAAATGAATAGGAGCTGCCAACCCTGAAGGTAGGGGAATAGGGGAACAGTGTATGCATTTTTAGAGTTTGTGAAGCCTGTTGGGAACTAGGAAAATGGGGTTTATATATCTGTGGAATGTCCAGGGTGGGAGACTGGTGCGAATGTTCTAGTTGGCCAACTTGATTAGTATCCAATGGTCTAGTAGTTTCAAGGTCTGTCTTCAACAGACCTCACAACCTCTGAGGATGCCTGCCATAGATGCAGGCGAAACATTAGGAGAGTATGCTTCTGGAACACTGCCAATTCTCTCACACCAGAAGCGACTTGCATTTTCTCAAGTTGCTCCTGACATGGAAAAAAAAGGAATGGTGGGAGTTGGTCCAAAACACCTGGAGGGCCGACGTTTGCCCACACTTGGGTTAGCCTCACTGAGTCCCTTTATTGGGGAAACCTGGAAGGCAAGGGCAAGATGGATGGATCATAGAATCATATAGTTGGAAGAGACCTCGTGGGCCATCCAGTCCAACCCCCTGCCAAGAAGCAGGAATATTGCATTCAAAGCACCCCTGACAGATGGCCATCCAGTCTGCCAGGCAATCAAATGCTAATCAAGGTGGTCAGTTGAAGCATTCACACCTAGCTTCAACAGACAAGAGTCCTTTGTCCCACCCTGGTCATTCCACAGATATATAAACTCTTTTTCCTAGTTCCAACAGACCTCACTACCTCTGAGGATGCTTGCCATAGATGCAGGCGAAACGTCAGGAGAGAATGCCTCTAGAACATGGCCATATAGCCCAAAAAAAACCTACAACAACCCAGTGATTCCGGCCATGAAAGCCTTTGACAATACATCCAGTCTCTGTTTAAAAGCCTCCAAAGAAGGAGCTGCCACTACACTCCGGGGCAGAGAGTTCCACTGCTGAACGGCTCTCACAGTCAGGAAGTTCTTCCTAATGTTCAGGTGGAATCTCCTTTCTTGTAGTTTCCTCGAAGTGACTGGCTTGACCCTGAAGGAGCTGGGGGTGGTGACGGCCGACGGGGAGCTCTTGCGTGTGCTGGTCCATGAGGTCACGAAGAGTCGGAAGCGACTGAACGAATGAACAACAACAACCCGGAAGGCAGGTGAGCAGTGGGCTCCCAGGTATTTGGGACTCCCACTCCCAGGAGCCCCGGCCAGCTTGGCCAACCGCGGGGAACTCTGGGAGCTGAAGTCCTGCACACCTGGCGGGCTCGAGGGAGGGAGGTTGGGCGCCACTGCCTTGGGAGGGAACCGACTGCGGGAACACCTCCTTCTCCTGTGTGTGTGTGTCGGCGAGGCCGGCCTGTTGCTCTCCTCGACGTGCCGCCCTCCGAAGAAGAGAAGGAGGAGGAGGTGGTGTTGGCGAAGGGGCTCCCAGCTGCTGTCGGCGGCGCATGCGCAGTGGCAGCCGCCCTCTCACCCCGCTCAGCTATGCCAAATATGCGCGGAGGGCAGCCGAGGCAGCAACAGAAGCAGCAGCAGCAGCAGCAGGAGGAGGCAGAGAGCCCCTCCGAGTGAGACCATGGGCGGCGGCGGCGGAGCTGGAGGCAAAGGGCCGCCCCCGTTCCCCTCGACGACGGCAGCAGGAACAGCGAGGAGGGCGCCCTGAAGGGAAGCAGGCGGAAGGCGGCATGGCTGACCCTCTGCGCCGGACTCTCTCCAAGCTTCGGGGCCGGAGGGAAGCCCGCGGAGGGGACGCCAAAGCCCCTCCGAGGCGTCACCATGGCAACGTCTTGATGGAGCCTGCGACGGGGCCCCAAAGCAGCGCGGAAGGAGACGGAGGGCCACGGCTCCCCCCTCTTCCTCTTCCTCCTCCTCCTCCACCGTCGAGGCTCCTCGAGGAGGAGAAGGAGGAGGAGGAGGAGGACTACTACGACAACTTGCCCGACGGAGGGGAAGGCGTCCAAGGCGGGAAGCCGAGAGAGAGCGCGGGGAGGCTGCGCATCCAGCTGCAGGAGGCCTACGCGCTGTTGCTCCACGCCATGCACGGCCTGCCTCCGCCGCCAAGTTGGTCCTTCCCGGACAGCCAGCCGCAGGGATGCTCCGCACCTCCTCTCCCTTCTTCTCCTTCTCCTCCTCCTCCTCTTCGGAAAAGGCTCAGCAAGAGCCTCGACGGCCTCCCCGGCGCCCAAGCGAAGACCTCCCTGAGGAGGAGCCGCAGCGAAGGAGCAGATGTGGGGCCAACAAAGGAGGAGGAGGAAGAAGAAGAGGATGAGGCGCTTTGGGACCCGAGGAGGCGGGAAAGGGGACCGAAGCCTCATCCGCCTTTGCCGCCGCCCAGCGAGGAGCCCACGGAAAAGAGCCTCCCGCCGCCACCGGCACCATCCCCAGCCCCATCCGCCTCCTTCAAGCCGCCCGCGCTGACGGTGCGGAAGCTGCAGAAGTGGATGTACAAAGGGCGCCTGCTCTCGCTGGCCATCAAAGGGCGAGGGGGAGGGGCTGCCGGGGAGACCCCCTCCTCGCCCTGCCCTCCCCCTCCCGCCAAGGGGACCCCTCCCCCGCCGCCCCCTTCAGACCAAAGGATCTTCCTGACAGGTAAGGTCTCCTCCCCGCTCCCCAGACCAGGCCAACGCTGGGCGACCCTTCCAGGCAGGCCCCAGAGGAGCCCAGGATCTGGTCCCAGGCTTTCTCTATACGTCAGATTATCTGGCAGTTCAGACACAGAGCCCTTCCACACAGCCCTATATCCCAGAATACCAAGGCAGGAAATCCTACATTATCTAAGTGTGGAGTCAGGGCCCTTCCACACAGCCCTGTATCCCAGGATATCAATGCAGAAAATCCCACTTTATCTGAGTGTGGACTCAGGGCCCTTCCACACAGCTCTGTATCCTAGAACATTAAGGCAGGAAATCCTACATTATCAAAGTGTGGACTCAGAGCCCTTCCATACAGCCCTATATCCCAGGATATCAAGGCAAGAAATCCTACATTATCTGAGTGTGGACTTAGGGCCCTTCCACACAGCACTGTATCCCAGAATACTAAGGCAGGAAATCCCACAATATCTGCTTTGGGCAAAAGTATGATAGTTGGGACCCAATGCTGAGACATCGCATCTGGTGAGAGACACCAGTTGCGGCAAGATAGTTCACCAGAAAAAGGGGAAATAGAAAGGGGTGGGGGACAACAAACAGCCAAGCATAGTGCTTAAGCCTATCCGGATATCGTATGTAAACACATACTTAACGTCTTCGTTTCTCTAATTCTGACCTGCGTTGCACAACCAGCATTGGGTCCCAGCTATCATACTTTTGCCCTGCTTTGAACCGGGGTTATTTGAGTCCACACTCAGATAATATGGGATTTTTCTGCCTTGATTCTGGGATATAGGGCTGTGTGGAAGGGCCCTCATATAATCCAGTCTAAAGCAGAAAAACCGCGATCAGATCCTGGGATATAGGGTCTGTCTGGAAGGTCCCTGGGAAAACCATCCTCACTTTTCACTAAGTTGAGATGAACTCCTCCCGTTTCGGGGGGTGGGGTGGGGGCTTTCTTTGGTGTTGGTGTGGCCCAGGCATGGACAAACTTAAGCCCTCCGGGTGTTCTGCACTTCGGCTCCAGGTGACAGCAGGTTTGACAAGAAGCAACTGGAAAAGCTTGCACAATATGGGGATTTAAACTTCGAGCTGCAAAAACTTTGGCACAAGCCAGTCAAGGTGGTCCCAGTGGTGATTGGCACACTGGGTGCAGTGCATAAGGACCTTGGCCTGCACTTAAAAACAATCGGTGCTGACAAAATGTCCACCTCACAGCTGCAAATGGCCACCCTACTTAGATCTGCAGGCATTGTTCACCGATACATCACACAGTCCTAGACACTTGGGAAGTGTCCGATGTGCAATCAAATACAAAAGCCAGCACAGTGATCTTGTTTGCTGTGTACTAATCTTGTTATGTTTATAATAATAACAATAACAACAACAACAACTTTATTATATCCCGCCACCATCTCCCTGAAGGGACTCAGTGCAGCTTACAGATGGCGCAATGTGCCTAAAAACAAACATAAAAGTGAACACAGTATAAAATACAATAAAATAAAGCACATGCATATATAAAAAAACCCTTTCTGTCAATGGGTACATCTACATCTACACCAGGCATAGGCAAACTTTGGCCCTCCAGGTGTTTTGGACTTCAACTCCCACAATTCCTAACAGCCAGTAAGCTGACTGGGATTTCTGGAAGTTGAAATCCAAAACACCTGCAAGGCCGAAGTTTGCCCATGCCCGATCTACACTGTAGAAGTAATGCAGTTTGGTACTACTTTGACTGGCATGGTTTAATATTACAGAATCACGGGAGTTGCAGTTTTACAAGGTTGTTAGCCAAAGAGTGTTGGAGCCTCTCTACCCACTTCAACAATTCCATACTATTGAGCCTTGGTGGTTGAAGTAGTGTCAATGCACCCAATGGCTCCTAAAGCAAATTGAATGTTAGCATTAGAAGCAGTCCCCAAGTTACAAACCAGATAGGTTCTGTAGATTTGTTCTTAAGCTGAAATTGTATGTAAGTCAAATCATGTACTTTTTGAAGTGGAACTCCAGCTAGAAATAACTATCTATCTATCTATCTTTGGGTAGCATAAGGAAGGGTTAACATCCCTGAGAAGTTTGTTTTGCTTTCTGTGTCCCTTCACTTTCCATCCCTGTGATAATTGGATTTTGAAAAAAATTGCTTGTTGTGAAAACATAGATTTGTGGAAAAGCTTCAGTGGATACACCTTTCCCCCATGATGACACTTTCAGGAGTGAATTTCCTTTCCAATGGGTAGATTTATCTAATTTCCTGTTGTCTTACCCTCTTTCTTAACTATGAGTTCTTTGTAAATCGGTTGTTTGTAACTGAAGACAATCAGTGCAATGGTTCCCTTTGGGTTTGGTTTCAGGATCCCTGGGGATACCTAAATCTGTGGATGCTGAAGTTCCTTTATGTACAGTGGCATAGTACAATGGTGTCATGTATAGATAATGGCAAAATCAAGGTTTGCCTTTTGGAATTTTTAAAACAATCAAGACATGGATGATTGTATCCATCGATTGTGTAAAGTTAACATAAAAGGCATGTGAAAGCAAGTAAATAAGAGAGGAGGGACTTTACAGATTTTACATGCCAAATCCTCATTTGCAAATGTGATGCCAAATTCATAGGCGGGAGAAAAGCACATAAATGATGCTCGTGCTTGTATAGGCTAAGCCTTTACTGGGTTACTAAGAGTATTCATAGTCTAGTTACAATGAGTAATAATTCCTCCCCAGTGGCACAAAGTAATTTTTGCCCCATAGATTTCAGTGATACCTCTTGCACTTCTCATTCTTTCTCTGATTATGGAGGGAAGAAACAAACAACGGAGGGAAGCATAGCAGCACTCTCTACACTGCAAATATACAGTAGTCTCAGTACAAACCTGTTTCCATCCATGGGACTTCACTTAGTTATGATACGCCTCACTCAAACTAGTGGGCCTGCTGCAAGAGGATGGATCGAGCTCATATAGCACAAGATACTGTGCTTGGTTCTGAACCATTTTCTCCCAATTTGGCCCTCCATATCCACAGATTCAAGTATCAATTACTTCAGCTTTTTTACACATTCAAAAGGCAAACTTTGATTTTGCTATTTTATGTAAAAAAAAAAAAGCAAAGGTTTCCCTTTGACATTAAGTCTAGTCGAGTCCGACTCTGGGGGGTGGTGCTCATCCCCATTTCTAAGCCTTAGATCCCTCCTAGGTCATGTGACCGGGATTACTGCATGGAGCACATTTACCTTCCCACCAATTGATCTACTCACATTTGCAGTTTTTTGAACTGCTATGTTGGCAGAAGCTGGAGCTAACAGTGGGAGTTCACCCCGCTCCCCAAGTTCGAACCACCAACCTTTCAATCAGAAAGTTCAGCAGCTCAGTGGTTTAATCTGCTGCGCCACTTATGCTGTTGTATATAATGGGACTTGAGCATCCATAGATTTTGGTTTCCACAGTGGTCCTGGAACCAGACCCCAACAGATATGAAGGGTGTTGACTGTATTGATTGTTCAAATTGTGTTTCCGTTAAAATCTGTGTGGAATTTAACATTTTATAACTGTTAGTTTATATAGCTTCGGAAGAAAGAAGTAGCTTGAAAACTGGAACTGTCCATTAAAACACCCGCTCTAGTGGCAAAAATATATATATATATATGTGGGGAAGGGACTAATAAAACTCACGTACCTGGTCAAGCACCAGTTCTTCATCTTCTTTCTGTGTGCCCTAAAGCATGAGAAATTCTAAGAAAGATTGCCTGATCAGCACAGGCATTTCCAGAAAATACTTTACTTTATATATTAATCATCTATGCACTACTAAATTGAGTTAATAAATCACTTATTCAAGTTCCCACATGTGAAGTAAACCACCTAGTTCCCAAGTCTCTGTATGTGTTCCTCTTTGAAGCCCAAAATTTCTGCAAAAAGTCTTGTGTTTATTTGCAGAAATGAAAAGGTACATCCTGACTAAAAAAGAAAGTGGGATAAAGAATATTTCTACTGTATTTTGTTTCCTGTCCAAATAGCTCTTTTACTGAGAAAGTCTACAGTATGCAGTAAACTTACCTCAGAAATTGTGCAACTTCAACAGAACACATAGCTTGTTACACTTAACTTAGCTAATGGTATTATCTATTGAATTCTGGTTCCTTTTCTGCTATATCGGCTTACACTTAAAATCAATATTTTCTTCCATTTTGCAGTTTTTACAGTGAGCACAAAGCAGTATATGACTTTCCTTCTCTCAAGTTCATCTTCAGAACAATCCTGGATAGGTCAGATGCAGAGAGACTAGTTCAGAGAGTTTCATGGTATGGTGGTGATTTGGGAAAATCTGGATTCCCAGGTCTCAGTCCCATACTTTAACCCCTGCACCTAACAGGGTCTCACTCAGAGCACAATAAATATCTTACATTGTGTAGTTCCAGACAAGTTAGTATGAAGTTAGTAGTCAATAAATTCAGGGCTAACCCTAAAAAATAAACAAGTCTTGATCTATTGACAGTTCCTGCTTGACATGATAACTACTGCCTTTAGCTTAGTGGGGCTTAAGGAGCAGAAGTCAGCCTAAGGTAAACACTTTTATGGATATTTCAGCATGTGTTTATCAGTACACTGCAAAGCGTGGGGCATTACTTTGGCTGGATTGTGCAGACAGGTTTCCAGTTGCCATCAAATTGGATGGAAGGAGCAAGATGTGGAAATTCTGTAACAGATCAGGTGCCTTCCACAGTGTTCAGAAACACCAGTACTTAGAGATCATAAGGAGAGCAGTTCAAGTAGTGACCATTCGGAAAGAAAATGAATCCAGTAGTTTTGAATGTTTTTATACTGTTTTTGTATTGTTTTTATTTAAATTGTATATTTATGCTTTTGTATATTTATGTTTTTGGTTGTGGGCACCATGTTGTGCTGGTTGTTAGCCACCCCGAGTCCCTCTGCGGAGGTCGAGATAGGACATGATACAAATGTCTGAAATAAATAAATAATAAATAATAAATAAAAGCTT